TTTAAAACACACATTGTTAGTAGATTCAGCGTATATATACTATGGCATGCATGTGCATGGCATTGCAGGCAGGTGCATAATAAATAATGCCAGGATACAATTTAGTTGACTAAGCACGATTGATGTGCCAGTGTATGCCCATATCCTTAGGTAAATTAGGCCCAATTAGTCAAGTATGTTGGCAGAGACAGAGGGCATAGCATTCACCTGTGTCAGGGCACATTTATTTTGTAGAATTAATTATGAGGTAGGAGTGTGTTCCTAGTATGGATGGTATGGCCTTCCTTCGCTCTATTTGTATCTTTGCTAGTAGATTGTCTGCATTTCTTCTGTGTAACATGTGGTATACTATGACCCAGAGCATTGGCTTTATTGTGGCAATAGTTACTTTATTTCTATCTATTTCTCTCTTCGTTTTTTAGGGAGGTTTGCCTGTGGATAAACCTAGAGGCCCACTGTTGCTCATCTGTGTATCCCTGAGCACTCCCTTTGTTTCTGACTTATTGAAGGCCTCACTCTATAAGCCCCTTGATGCATCACAGTTTGGCCATTTGGGACACCACTAAATCTTTTAGATTAATTAACACTTACACTTAAGCCACTCCTAGGTAACCCTGTATTTTTACCCAGCTTGGAGTCACCCAGTGCCTTTAACTGGTGTAGCTCGTATATGTTCAATATGTTTACTCTTTTGTCAATGGCAACTCCATTTAATGCTTGTCAGAGATCAGGAAAAAAATGTAAGCTTTCCATTTGGAAATGTTCTGATATATGCAGATTAGAATTTGTCTCTCATTGCTGCTAGCCAACAGGAATCCCACTACCATACCCCTCTTTCCCCTAAGTTAATTTCTTTTATCTACTTGCAACTTAATTTCCCATCCAAGGACACGGCTCATAATTATGTTTCCAAATGTAAGGCTGAACTCAAAAGCACTAAAACTATGGAGGGCTTTCAACAAATTTGAGCCAAAGTTGCTGCCAAGTTTCTGCCAAGCTAGCATTCAAGGTCCTAGCCAAATTGTAATGAGTGCCATCTAGACTGGTACATCTCCACCCCTCATATTCTGGCATGTGTTGTCTAGGAGACTGGGAAGCTGGACTGGGCACCTGTCTATTCTCCCTGGTGGGACTGTTACTGGAGTCGAGGTGGCAGGGAAAGGAGGGGCTGCTATAGCACAGACATAGCATAATTGGCTGAGTCTGAGGGAAGTGAATGTTCCTCCCAACTTATGCTGACCTGGAGCATTCAGGGAACTGGCTCATATGGAGGAAGCTTTTTCTGCATCTGAGCTTAGCTGGTCTTATTTTCTAGGGCATATTAGTCCACCAGGTGTGAACAGCCCTAAGCCCCAGCAGCCTGCTGGCTAAGTGTTGGGAGCCACATAATTACTCAGCAGGCCGCAGATAAGTGAAATTCCGTCTAACATTGCTTTTAAAGGGTTATAGCCACCACTACATGGTTTTGAAGAATCACTTTCTATATTATTCCCAACTTACCCTTTACTGGAAGAGCGAAACCCAAAATCCAAACTACTTACTTAAACCTACCAGCTTAGACTCTCTAATAGTTTCTAAACAATATTCTATTTCTACGATCTAAGCCCCACCTATCTCCCTAAATCATCTAAATTGTCAAATAATAAATGGTACACAACTTTCAAGGATACCATAATGTCAGAAGTTTTACTCTTAATGAAACCTGGTGGGAGAATCAATTCCACATTATGCATAAAGCTTACTATGCCTTTTACTATTTTCATAAAATAAACGCTCAAAGGCCTCATTTAATAGATTGCCCGCAGTGTAACCTATCAGGGGTGAATCTCTATCATTGCTTGTGGAGCTGTACACCAATTTCATCCTATAGGGAAACGGTCTTAGCATTTCTCACCAAGCTTCTAGGTATACCATTACCTACTGATCCCTGGCTTTGTCTATTCAGCTACTGGGAACCACCATCTTTATATTAGTGGTAACAACCATAATGTGGCAAGAATGGTTGAAGACATCTATACAAAACAATTTTGTACCAGTTGGAGCCCTTTTATTTTATATCATTTCCAAGACTCCAAATTACAAGAGATAGTACTTCCCTTTGGGTATTCCACATGGTACTTGGAAAAAGAGTTACGGGCCCCCTGGCAGATGAGCCCTTCCTGACTAAGTAGTCACATACAAAGGTTTTGCTAGAAGATGATGTCCAAGATTTCAAATCATCGCTTTCTGCAGATTGAACCAGTGCTTTGTGCACTCCCCTAGGGTAATGAATCTTTACTGTACCCATATATCGCTCATTGTTGATACGCCTGAGAGGGGAGACCGACATGTGATACGGTTACCGGTTTGAGGCTAATCAAAGAGGTGAGGCTGCAAATAAGTGTTAATTTATGTTTAGAATGTATATTAAATGATTTATTGTAGCGCAGGTTATTATAGGTATACCACAACCGATTCTTTAGTTGAACCTGGATGGTTTTGACAATGACAATTGGGAGTGTATGCACCAGCTTAAATACAATTGATTGCCTCTCGATATAGACGGCCAACCTCAAGGACAGCGAACATCATGAGAATGTGCTTGATAAAAGGAACAACTCCAGACCTTAATTTTCTTCTTCATCCTACTTATATCGATGCTACTCCCCCAATCTCGTTTTTTGCTAGAGCGATCGAGCAGTCTTCATACCTGGTGATAGTTATATGTTGTATGTTTTGTATCTTTACAATACCTATACAGACTAAATGCTGTATTACATAACCGCTGAATATTACCCTTGTCATGTTCTCTTTTGCTCAATTAAATATTTTTGGAAAAAAGAAAAGGGGGAAAGCAGACTCTTCAATATATGGCAATATTGTTGCTGGTGATGGGGGTGCTAAAATCATTTTTAGGTGTGCTATACCCAGTCACCCTCACAGGATTACCACTGTTCAATAACCACAAGTTCCAAAGATTTATTTTAGACAATTAAATTAATATTCTTAAACACCAAAATATTATGATCAATGTAATTGTTTTTTTATGGTACAGAAAGGAAGAAATTAATTTTGTTTTATTTGAGTATGAAGCTGTAGGTGGAATTACAAAAGACATTGAAAGAACAGTTTTATTTGCACTGTGTTTAATCAGAACTGTTTTTTTCAGGGGAAAAAAAAAACTGATTGATTGGAGAGGCAACTATAGAAACCAAAATTAAAGATTTGTTCTGTACGTTTCCTGATGCCAACTGATTGTAGAATAGAAAATGCATTTACTGTCTGCCTAGAAAGGAGTTTTTTTTCCTCAGGTAGAATGGAAATCTGTATTCTTAAAAACTGGAGCATTGCATGAAAAAAAAACAAGAATCAACTTTGTCCTTTGCTCAGAATGTTTCAAACTTAAAAAGTGTTGCTTCTTTAAGCCCCATCTTTTAATGGCCCTGCTCTACCCAAATATCTACAAACATCCATCAGTTCCAAACACATGAAGATAACCAAGCCTTGAGCTTTAATTAACCTTTCTGTATTTCAAGCCCCATTAAATCCTAAGAGGGAAATGTATCAAAATTGGAGCAGACAAAACCTGGAGCAGGTTTGCATGGCAACCAATCAGCTTCTCTCTTTCATTTTCAAATCTTAACTGAACAAATTGAAGAGAGAAGCTGATTGGTTGCCCTGGGCAACTGCTCCAGATTTTTACTGCTCCAATTTTGATAAATTCCCCTCTGTGTGTTTACCCCCGTAAACCTTGATGCATACCTATTGTAATGACAGCAGCCTTGCTCTCACATATCTTGGAGTAGACAGCCTCCGAAGAAGGTTTTACGCAGCAGATTAGGTCTCAGACGGGCCACAGCCAACTTTATTGAACTTCTAGCATCTGAAAAGCATAAACAGCATTAAATAACGTAAGCAGCCTGCCCAGAGCAATAAAACATAACACATTAAAAAAAGCTTTGCCCGTCCAGCTCTAACTACACATCAAGTCACTTTCTAGTAAGGTAATAGACCTCATGTCCAAATCCAAGCAATAACAGCTCTTACTTGCAAAACTGCTGCTACACAGTGTCTCTCTCTCTTCAGACCAACATTCTCTGGCTTCCCCAAGTTTGTAGATACTTTGAGAGACCCCTTTGAAGTCAGCTGCCTTCTCTATTAAGAACAACCACAGCCATACCATAATGCCTTGCCTTGATCATAGCAAAGTATTTCCCCCAATATATTCCTTTTGCTCCAATACTATGATCAGCAGCCTTACTGTCCATTAGAAATATACAGGAGGCAGATAGGGACATACAAACTTCAGTGCTGGAAGACCAACATGGTATATGCGCTATATATTTTATAAACAGTTTTATTTTGTAAATATTTAGCTATATCTGTTTTGCAGAAATTATTCTCAGACTCTTAATCAGTTTTGTACTTTCAGAAATGTACCTTCTCCATCAATCAATCTCATATTGCCTTTTGTAAAGAGGCTTTATCTTGCATTCTTTTGCTTTACCACTCAGAGTTTTAGAGTGATGTAGGAGTGTGACGGTCTGATCATTTTGTTGCTGGGTTTTTTAGCCAGAGCTGAGCCTTGCTCCTAGAATCCTAGCAATGCAATATTTACATATACACAGAAACGGTGCTAATTACTGCAATATGTAATGTGCAGACATGGAGATACTTCACTGGCAATTGGACAGTGTATTTTATTTCCTTATTGTTCTGTGCTTCTCCCTCGTGGGGGACACAGCTGTTTCCTCTTGAAGGAGGCATTGCACAAATGGCTTTTTGTGAAAAACCAAACACACACACTGTGTAAACTGAATATTAAATGCTAATGTACGTTTGTTGTGATGTGATTTCCTGCGTAGGGCCAAATCTCATGTCAAATATGCTGGCGCCAATCTTCACGGTACACAACAAAGTATACATGTTTTAATTTAATAAACACAATATAGTTCTCGCCATTCCACTACAATGAAAACAAGAACTGCTTTACAATTTACTGAGTACTTTGTTTCCTGCAGGCAACATTTAAAGGGTGGATGGATATCATGTATGCAGCTGTGGATTCTCGATCATCAGTAAGTAATGTATACTTTGACTTTGCAGAACAAGTTTAATTTCTCAATATTAGTCTGAGGATACTGGTAAACTGATACCTCTATATGGTAGACTTTCCTCAGTTAGCTGTTTGGTGCACTATGGTGCATGAGCGAAGGGGGGGCTCCTTCCAGTAGTTTGTGATATGTTTCTCCAGTTCAGTCTACTTGAGAATACCTCCACTTTGCAAAGTAAATGTTTATGTGGTTTAGTTAATATGGTAAAGATGTGTTTACTTTGTGTATCCAATCATATACAATAGGTTGAATTGGATGATTGAAGACAATGCAGGTCCACCTTATTCATTACGATAAATAGCATTCACTATGAAAAGTGAAAAGTCTCTACTTCATTGGGGGGCTTATATATGTAAAGTATGTTGACAAGAAAGTGTAATTTTGCCAATTGGAGCCAACCAGTGTCCTTATTTCATTTTTAACACTTTACTGCAGCAATGATAGGTGGACATTAGTGATTGCTAGGGCAATAAGAAATGCTCTTGTTTGCCCATTTTTTATACTTTTATTATAATTGTAATTCCACATTTGCAGTCAAGTTTGAGAAATCCCCTCTATATGTTTGTTATGTGTTCCCATTCACACAGCATACCGAAAAATAATATTTTATACCATTTACATGTTTTGTTGCAGCAAGCAAGATGACCGATTCCAGTTTTTTCTGAGCGCCTTTACAGTCATCTGTCCTTATAGAAAGAAATTTGAGAATTGTGTTTCTCTCATTAACTTTATTAACATACCATGGAGATGCCAGGGTTGTAATCCTTTAACCCCTCTCAGCCCTTCCTAACATTACAAAAGAAGGAAGCAAGTAGAAATTTTAACCCTTAGGAAGCCAAGAAACCCTAACTCAAGTAAAAGCAATTTAAACTGCAAGAAGCATTTTATAATTTTTTTTTAGTTAATGCTATGTGAATAGGAACATTTGGCTGCAAACATTGAAATATACCTTAAAAGAGAACTATGGGGTAAGTATTTTCCCCATAGTTCTCTTAAGGGTCATGGGAGGACATATACTAGCGTCCTCTCGTGACCCAAAGCTCAGTATATCGTGAGTTATATCTCACGGTATACTGAGACCGCCGCAGCCAGGACGGATCCTGACATTACTGTCGAGATCCACCCAGCTGCGTGAATGACAGCTGGCTCTGCCTATCTGTAGGCAGAGCCAGCTGTGCTGGCCCCTTCCCCGTCCATTCCTCCAGTCAGCACTGGTGGATCGGAGAGGGGAGGGGGGAATTCCTGCAGGGAGCAGTGACTGACAGTCACGGCTCTCTGCAGGGACATGATCGAGAAGTGAGCGAGCGACTGTATGTGTTCGCTCACTTACTGATCTATTGAGCCGACGTGTGACAGTTTAATTGTCACACATCGGCTCGAACTATGAGGATTTTCACTCACTTCATAGTTCTTCTTTAAGCCCCCTTGTCTGCAGTCATGTTGCTCTCTTTACTGTACAGAGCAGACTACAGACAGCCTGAATATACACAAAGCAGTATTTACACTGGTCCATGCCTTCAATTACAGCTTTTAAAGCACAAGGAAAGAAAAGGTATAGCTAAGGGTTACAGTATATATCTAATGCTTCATGCTGTTCTTGGAGATAAAAGAGCTAAAACTTAAAAATTTGCTGCAAAACTACAGTTATCCTTTAGCCTACTCATAGTCTTAAGAGCATGAGCCATGCGTGCAAACGTAACCACCAGACCTTAGGGGTGCTCAGTGCATGAACATGTATGGTCATCCTAAAATTCTCTGATACAAGTTAAAGTTCTATAGAAATAAAAATCATTTTCACTGTGTAAGCAGACTGAAAACTGCCCAAACTGCTAAAAAAAGTAGTGTTTGTTTATGGTGCTCATCAGTCTCAAAAAGGATGGCCAGAGCATCCATTGCATATCGAAAGTAGTCCACCAGTTTATGGCCATGCTCAGCAAGTAATGATTAAATTCATGTTCCCCAACATAACCAACTAGCATCAGTGATTCACCTTCACTCCCTACTGCGTTATAACCATGAGAACTATCCGTTGGTGCTCGAAGTGACGACACGGATGGTGCTGTGCCACAGTCCAATCAATGATAGAAAAGTCATCAGCACTCACTTGTAATGTGCAAAAAGCATAAGCACTTTTATTGATCCGTCACATGTGCCATAGAGCCAACGTTTCGGGGCTGCGCAGGGTCCCTTCCTCAGGGCGACATGACCAGTCACATTGTATTGGTTAAACCAATACCTAAAATGTGTGATAAAAATGAGCTGTACTGCAGTAGTAAAGTATTCATAACAGAGAGGGAGACTGGCTACCACTGTCTTTAAGGGGTTTTCCGCCCTTAGCCAAAAAGCTGAAAACTTCTGGTCTGTGTTAACGCTTGCACAGATTCCTACAATTAACTGATCCTGTGTAAAATCCATTCTTTGGTTACTGGAGTTCTTGGAGCGGCTCATTTTGCTGTGCTATCCATGATCAACAATTTAAATTGATTTACTGAAGAAGTAAACATTCTTTAGTTTGCTATATTAATGTTCACTTGTGAACAAATTGAAGCTACGATCACATCAGTCATCCAGTCTTGCGCAAGGTAAATCCTGCCTCCCTTGGTGTTCAACGTGAAAACAACTTCACCTTATTTACTAAGCTAAGTGAACATTCACTTATCCTTTAACAAATCATCCCCATTGCTTTCAACTTTACCTAATCTTGACCGTCTTGGCTGCAGCACGAGTAGACAGGTATATTGTCAGTTTTCTTGTTGGAAATTGAGAACCTCTTTAACCTAATATAAACATGTATAACAGTTTGCATTATTAGAAATTGGGAAGTAGTCTTCACTTGTTAAAATGTGAGAAGCTGCATTCATTACCTGTCCGTCTATCTCCCACCTTGACTGCCTTTAGGCGTTCCCTAAAGACTCATCTCTTCAAGGAAGCCTATCCCACCTCAACCTAACCACTGAACCTTCACATTCTCACATAATTCATTACCACAGCTACCTCATGTATCATTTCTCCCTCCTCTTTTAGATTGTAAGCCCTCAGGGGCAGGGCCCTCTTTACCATCTTGTCTTGAATGGTATTGTAACTGTAATGTCTTCCTTATATTGTAAAGCGCTGCGCAAACTGTTGGCGCTATATAAATACTATGTTATAATAATAATAATAATAATTAAAGCCAATTTGTTTCAAATTCAGTGACTTTTTGGCTGCAAATAACTTATTTGAATTTTTTTTAATTACGTTTTGTTTTTCTTTACAAGTATTAGTGGCACCATGAAATGTGTTGGAGAATGTAAAACATTAGTAATACAATTAATTCTCTGTTGCCGCCCGTCTTTCCTTCGCTCTTGGTGGTCCTGTGTCATTTTATTCAATGTGGTGACTGGGCTGTATATATATTGAATGCTTCAGTCCCTGTAATTGGCATATGTTTTTTATTACCAGCATCCATTTTCCAGATGATATAATGTAATCTGGAGAGTGGGCTGTCTTGAGAGTTTCAGGAAAGCTTAGCCATAAAAACGAATTTAATTTCACACATGTGACTAATTATGAATTATATGGTTCACTTCTCATAGTAATTACTGATTCACAAATGATTAACTAATAAAAAGAATAAGAACTTCGAGGTTCTTGCAATGATGTTCTTATATGTATGTGTATTACAGCAGAAATTAAAAAAATGTGAGCCATTTGCAACTCTGACATAATGCTATCTACTCCTGCATGCTTGGAACTAGAAAAGTTAAAAGTTAACTTTAGCCAAAACCTTTTTTTAGTTTCCAAGCCAGTGAGAAATGGGTTAGAATCTCTCTCAGGTTTTTATAGCTCAAAAAAAAACATGTTTCAGAGGTGCTGGGAATTTCTGTTGTTTATATGACAGAACAGTATTCTAGGGGCTTGAAATGAGCTCATTGGCTCAGGTTTGGCACCTCCAGAAAGACAGGTTTCCCTCAACAGATATCTGGAAGACTTAGGGGTCTATTCACTAAGCTGCCGTAGGCAGCCGAGTGACTAACCGTCCCGAAGCGAAGTGAGCCGAAGCGAAGAACGCTGTTCGGCTATTCACTTCAGGCTGGTACGGCTGATTCCAGCCGTATATCGGCTGAAATCAGCCATACATCGGGTGGCTTCGGCTGGCTTAGGGGCGGCCGAACATGCTCTGCATGTTCGGCCGACCCCAAGTGCAGAAGGAGTTTGACTCCTCATCTGGATCAGCTAAGCCGAACCTCCGACAGGCTACTCGCTGCTGTTCGGCCTATTCTCATAGATGCTTTGCTATTATTGAGTCTATGATCTACCAGAACACCCAGATCTTTCTCCACCATTGACTCAACCAAACATACTCCCCCTAGAGTGTATGACGCACGCATGTTTTTAGTCCCTAAGTACATAACTTTACATTTATCAACATTAAACCTCATTTGCCAAATAGTTGCCCAATCACACAGTGCATTCAGATCTGCTTGTAGGTTGGAGACATCCTGTAAGGACTGTATTCCACTACATAACTTGGTGTCATCTGCAAACACAGAAATAGTACTTTTAATCCCCAACTCTTTGTCATTTATAAATAGATTAAACAGTAAAGGGTCCAACACTGAACCTTGGGGGACACCACTAACAACCTCAGACCATTTAGAGTATGAATCATTGATCACCACTCTCTGAATACGGTCTTTAAGCCAGTTTTCTATCCAATTATAAATCGAATACTCTATACCTACTGACCTTAACTAATACATTAGCCGCATGTGGGGGACTGTGTCAAATACCTTTGCTAAGTCCATATTTACAGTACATACACAGACTGCTTCTGCTTATTGATGGTACAGTAGAGTACAGTACTGTTCCTTACTGTCACTGCAATTATGTCAATCTACTTATATAACCAATAGAGCTAAAGGTGTAAATGTACTAAAGGAGTAGAGGTTCAGTTTGTAAAGGTAAAATTTGCATAGCTTATTAAATAAGGTGTTCACTTCAACAAAATATTGAAACCTTTTTTTCTTAATTTCCCTTGCACATGATTGGATATTCAAAGAGATCAAAGCTTCAACATAGCAATTAACATACAAAGTAAACAGTGTCTATTTCTTTAGTAAATCAAGCTCAATCTTTGTGGTTGATTGATTGTATAACACTTGTACTTCTGATGTGATGCTGTATACCCTGCCAAATAAACACAGAGATACTTAATTTTAAGGGACGGCAATATATTTGTAAGATTGTAGAGTACATTTTGTGAATTACACAGTGTAGTAGCTTCTTCTTTGTAATGTGTGTTGTACAATGTTCTTTGCTATAACTGTAATTACTGTTCTCTGTTCTTTGTTCCCTAGACTGAACAGCAGCCAATTTATGAAATTAATAAGTACATGTACCTATATTTCGTTGTTTTTATCATATTTGGATCTTTCTTCACCCTGAACCTTTTTATTGGTGTGATTATTGACAACTTCAATCAACAAAAGAAGAAGATAAGTATCTGAGCCAAAGTGTTTCTGTGGCACACTTCTTCATTATTATGTATATATTTAAAGATATATGTTTCTGTAATGGCAGCAGCCTTGCTTTTGCTGTCTGTTAGGCAGCTTATTCACAGCGATTGAACATAACACTCAAAAATAAAGTTCAGCTTGTGTGACACTAAATATGCATCACATTTTCCTTTCTATAATGGAAATGGAACTTGTGTTTAGGACCCTCTCCTAAGAAAAGAAAAATATTTTTTTTTTTATAAGCTGCTACCATACAGTGTCTCTCTGCAGAGCAACATGCTCTGGATTTCCTGAGGTTTGTGACGGTAGAAGAGACTTCTCCATCAAGAGTAATCACAGCTTAAACATAATTGCTCTTGATCTTGATCCCTTAGTGTTTGCTTAGTTAAATCTGTTTTCTTCCAGATGTCTGAGAAATGTTCTCCTGTACTAGACCTACTGAATTTACATAGTTAAATGCATATGTAGAAATGTTTTATTATTTACCATGAAACATCTCAGTCCATTCCAATTCATTACCGCAACCATAGCAACTGGTGCATAAGAACATCTCTCTAAAGTTATTTGTGTCAGGTCACTAAGAATCTTGAAAGGAAAACTTCATAATTTGTTACTGCTGGCAAAGAGTACAATAAGAGGAAAAATACAGTTTAGAGTAATCATGCCAATCTGGACCCCTCCAAGCTGTTGGAAACGCTAGTTAGGTCATTTCAAAACTTGATGGAGCCAGATAGCCAATCATTACAGAAAAAAATCCAGAAGAATAAAATAATTTATCCATGAATATGCAAAGCAAACAGCTTGTTCTTTGTTATTGAATGCAGACATTCCACATAATGCAGTTCTTTACAGTCATGGCCTCTGTAAAGTCTGTGCAAAAGTTTTAGCACATGCACTATTGCAGGTAAAAAGAGTCATTTTTCAAGTTAAATCTCTAAATCTAAACATATGCATCTTGCTTTAGTTGTCCTTAAAAAAGGATGTGTGCACATCTTTTAAAGATTGTCTCTGAATCCAAACATCATGTTTTTGCATTCATGAAAGTGCTTTTATAGTAAGTAATCTTTACAGGGTATTGATGATCTCGAGGAGATGCAAACCAATTGCATATGCTCTTGCATTTGTAATTATGTAGAAAACAGTAAGACAGAAACAACCAGTCTAGTAACACACATGGCCATAAGGAATTCTGATATCCTGTCTGACAAGGTCTTTCGTGGTTGTTTTTTGCCCTGGGAATGAATGTCTGTTACAGAATGAAGGCCAGCGGAATGCAGGAAACACTGCCGTCTAGCTTTGGCTCTGTGTACCTATTTCTACAGCATTTGTGACCAGGTGTCAGAGTGGTCACTCCTAAGTGCATTTCTACATATTCAATAAACGAATACTAACCAAAAACACATTTTCAATGAAGCAGGGCTGTGCACAGCAAGTCCATAGTATAATACAAACAAAAAAATCTGCTTGTCCAAGCAACTAACTTGACTCCGGTTAGTTCTTGAACAACAGGGTGCACCCTATTGGGTTTCCTGAAAAACAATTGACAACACTTTTTAGTGTTCTGTGAGCAGTCAGCCTTTTTACCTAGCAGCAGGCTCTTCCAACAGAGAGAGACATAGGGGTCTATTCACTAAGCTGCCACAGGCAGCAGAGTGAAAGACTGACCTGAAGTAAAGTGATTCACTTCAGGCTGGTACGGCTGATTTGAGCTGTATATCGGCTGAAATCAGCCGTACATCGGGTGGCTTTGCGTGGCTTCGGGTCGGACGAACATGCTCCGCATGTTCGGCCGACCCAAAGTGCAGAAGGAGTTCGACTCAGCCGATCCAGCATCTGGATCGGCTGAGCCGAACCTCCGGCAGGCTACTCGCTGCTGTTCGGTCTATTCTCATAGATGCCGAACAGCAGTGAGTGAATAGCCGAATGCCGCCGAGCCTGCTCAGTCTCTGCTCGGAACAGTTAAAAAAGTAGAAAAATAAAAATAGAAAACGATTGTGTGGAGCTAGCAATGACAGCTAGCTCCGCCCAACAGTTTTCTATTGGCCGGCGGTTCTGCTGCCGTCAAAAAAAGCAAAAAAAAAGCCTAACTCTCTCGGGCGCTCCGGGAGTCTCCCGCTCCCGTCCGCCAAGGAGAGAAACACTGCTTTTTTTTTCTTATTCTGACACGGCGCCGTGTCAGAATAGAAAAAGATTAATCATTTGGCCATAGGAATGCAATGCTAGTTTGCTATTGGCTGTTGCAAATTGAAATAGCCAATAGGAATCTAGCAATGCATTCCTATGGCCACATTTTTTTTTTCTATTCTGACACGGCTCCGTGTCAGAATAAGAAAAACAAAGAAAAAGCAGTGTTTCTCTGCTTGGCGGCTGGGAGCGGGAGACTCCCGAAGCGCCAGGGAGAGTTTGCTGTCTGGAGATCAGTGTCCCTGGTTAGCTAGTAAGCAGGGACGCTGATCTCTCTGCAAGTGGCCAGAGCCAGCCGTAAGATCACAGCTGGCTCCGCACAGCTGTCAGAAGCAGGCTGTCGGCCGGCCGCTCAGCCAGCTTCGGCTTTCAGCGCGGCTCAGCCAAGCCAAATCATATGCGTTCGGCTCGACTGAGCTGCTCGCCAAGTTCGGGAGCTGTACGGGTGAACGTTGAAGATGAATCTCTCCACAATGCCTATAGCTACAGAGATGCATAAGGACTTGTTTTAAGTACTTGTTCTGTCTAGGCACAGTTTACGTTAACTGACCTTGACAGGTGTCACTGATGTAGCCAAAAGCCGAGATATTGAACAAGGTGCCTGATTCCTACTTTTATTATAATATGTAAGTGCTAATAATTATCCTTTAAAGCAGTGGTTCTCAACCTGTGGGTCGGGACCCAAAAGTGGGTCGCAACCCACAGTTGAGGGGGTCCCCACGTGCCTTGTGCTGCTCTAGGTAAGAGGCTCCTCAGCCTCCTCCTAGCGTGGCAGCGTCAGTTCTCCTAGGTGGCGCTGCAGCAGCAGCAGCGGCCGGAGAGGATCAGAGAGAGGGGAGCAGGCAGGAGTGAGGGAAGGTGAGTGCTTAATCACCATAGAGCCCACAACTAGGCACTACAGAGCCCGTACTGGACGCCGCCAGAGAGTCCCACTAGCCTCCTGAGAGCCCACACAGATACTAGTATTGGTGCATCCCTAAATTTTACTGTTGGGGGTCACCACAACTTGGCAAATGTTACCAAGGGGTCCCGGCCCTACAAAGGTTGAGAACCACTGCTTTAAAGCATATACTTAAATGCTTACGGTTGCAGGTTAGTGATGATATTGCTTTTTGTTGGAAAGTTTTGAGGTCATAGCTATAGTATTTTAAGAACAGTAATGCTATACTTGAAATAGGATATATAGACCACAGTAGACCTTAGCCAAGACCTTACAACCCAGCATTTTATTTAATTTTGTATTACTGTTTGTGTCCCTGTTGGGCAGCTTTATCCTCACATCCTGTCAGGGCAGTAAGTATTAGGATATTTCCAATCCAATAAGGCCACAGGCAAAAATAAAAACATGTTTTTAGTAGAGTGGGGAAGGGTGAGAACTTCTGACAATTGTTTGATCTTCTGTACTGTGCATGATATTAATGTGCTACTTTTTATAGCAAAAAGAATAATTGTTGTTGTTTCATCATTTTACTTAGGAGGCCAAGATATTTTTATGACGGAAGAGCAAAAAAAATACTACAATGCTATGAAGAAATTGGGTTCGAAAAAGCCCCAGAAGCCAATCCCAAGGCCCCAGGTAAAAATTAATGGACACAACTATTTATGTTGTTTTCAAACAATATGGATGTGACAGAATTTCCATAGTATTGCGTATGTCATTAAATGAAGCTGCAACTTATTATTATATAGGTATACAGGTATGCATTTGTATTGCTTTCTACAGTCTTGCAACCTCCCCTAACTCTGCATGTTAATATCTACTTCATGATTGCTTTTTTTCCAGCAGAGTTAGGAATTCTAAAGCTATTTTTGGCTTTGAAAATTTCCTTCCTGGCTGCTCCGTTGCAATGATTTATATTTCACATAGAGATATGTCGGTTCTTGTTCACATGAATGTCTGGAAATCTGTCACTCACCATCTCCTCAGAAGAGCTGGTGAGATGACATGATAAGCTACATAATGAACATGTTGTTTTCAATCAGACTAAACAGGCTGAGAGTAACAGTAAGGCATCACTGTGGATTCCTTTACATTAAAAGAGAACTATGGAATAAGTGTTTTCCCCCATAGTTCTCTTAAATGTCACGGGTGGACATATACTAGCGACCTCCCGTGACCCAAAGTTCAGTATATCGCGAGCTACAGCTCGCGGTATACTGTGACCGCTGCAGCCATGACAGATCACGACATTACTGTCGAGATCCACCCAGCAACGTGAGTGACAGCATGCTCTGCCTATCTAGAGGCAGAGCCAGCTGTACCCCTCTGTTCCTCCCCCGTCCGTTCCTCCAGTCAGTGCTGGAGGATCGGAGCGGGGAGGGGAGAATCCCTGCAGGGAGCCGTGAGTGACAGTCACGGCTCTCTGCATGGAGCCGTGAGTGACAGTCACGGCCCTCTGCAGGGAGATGATCAAGAAGTGAACGAGCTACGGTATGTGTTCGCTCACTTCCCGATCTATTGAGCCGACGTGTGACAATTTCATTGTCACACGTCGGCTCGAACTATGAGGATGAGTGATTTTTACTCACCTCATATATCTCCTTTAATGTACAATGTGCACAAACAATGTAAAGGGCACACACATTACATTAATTACAAACCATAGTATAAACTATAACATTTTTATCACATTAACAGACAAAGGTCATTGGCCATTAGCCTATTATTATTTTTATTAAATAAACGAGAAAATGGTTTCTCTTTCATGCCTGCTACCCAAATGGGGAAAACACCAAAAAAGTAAACTAGAAATGCTCCTAAATTCTGAAAATAAAGTTGTGTATTTTTAGTCGGCCCCCTAAAATTATCATAAGCTATCCCCCTTTCCCATCACTATTCATTTCCTTTTTTACTTAATAGAATTTACATTTTAATGATTATCTCTATTGGTGTTTTACAAGCTCCCTTATACTCAAATGGCCAAACCTTAGGCTGCACAACACTGTAAAGAACAGGGGCCCCACAACTTCTTTCAAGGGGTCTATTGCGGTTCTCTTTGTTTAAACTTTTAAACATCCCCTCTTAAATAGTGTAACACCACTACACAAGAGTACCCTAACTGCACTTCTCCTTTACTATTCATGATATCATATAAATAATAGATGTTTCGTCTAAGGACCGAATTTTCAAGTCAGCTTGTCACTGTAGATTTTTCATACTTTGAGATACTTTGAGAGCACTTTTGAGAGCTGAAACTTAAATGTCTTTATTTTGCAGAACAAATTTCAAGGATTTTTCTTTGACGTGGTGACGAAGCAAGCCTTTGATATTATTATCATGGTACTCATATGCCTTAACATGGTCACTATGATGGTGGAAACTGATGAGCAGTCTGAAGATGTCGAGGATTTACTGTACAATATTAACCTGGCGTTTGTGGTCATTTTTAGTGGTGAATGTACATTCAAAATCCTGGCTCTCAGGTACTACTATTTCACCATTGGCTGGAATATCTTCGATTTTGTGGTTGTTATCCTTTCAGTTGTGGGTAAGTAGCCAAATTGTTCTGTTTCCAAGTGGGTTGATGCAAAAATAATTTATAGTCATACTTTATAACATGTATCAGCTGGCCAAGAACCTGACCACATAACATTGCTTTGGCATTTAAAACAACTCTTGGTAGGCACCCTGTAATAGAATCGACTGAATACTCTTCTGTCTCTTAAACTCTTAACTTGCTTCCAAAGATCTCAGGGCAGATGTTCAGTGTTCTGCTGTGCCATAGGGATCAACCACAGTACCTGGCTGGGGACATACTACTTGACACACCTGGAGTTGTTGGATAACAGCAGTGCCCAAAGCTCTTGGCCTCAGTGAGCTGTGTGGGGAGGTGCACAGAATGTCACAAGTTGCTAAGAGCTCTTAGCAACCTTGGATGCTGTGGCCACCCACCTGCCTCATAAATCAAAGTCAAACCACTAAGGACATAGACACTATACCCCTATTTCAAACATACGAACAGCAAAGCAATAAAGATATGATGCTTTTAAGTTGTCATCATACATCATATCCATTGGGCCGCTGGGGTGTGACGTCTAAAGACACCCGCTCAGATCTAGAGAGCTCCCGGCCGGCCGGGAAGTGGTTAAAGGGTTAGTTTACCTTTTTACAAAAAGTGAAAAGGTGAATTAATCCATATTACTCACCCCACCACCTCATCCCCCGCAGCACTTAACAATTCAGATGACATACTCCCACCACCCATGCCATACAGTGTTACAGTCTGCAAATCCAAGAAGTCCTGCACACTCCATACAGCATTTAGACCCCATCATAAAAGAGTGCTATTGCTCAGTGCAGTTACATGGGTGTGCTGACCAATGACCGTTCAGCATTGCAAGCATTATGGTGGTGCACAACCTCCAGGACTGTATAGGGACCTAACCCTTAAAAGTGACACTAAACTCAGGCGTTACATTTTAAAAATGTATTTAACTACCCTAACTATGTATTCAACTACCCTAAAAATGTATCTTATTTGTGTATCACTCGGCTGTAGATCCTCAAATCATCTCTGAGATGGTGCTGACGCTGTCCTTCCTTCTGGTGGGTGACTACTTTTGTATGCCATGGTCCCTGTGTGTGTTGTAAAGTAGCCACCTCTCCAAGCTCACTCCTGTGATGGTACTACAATTTCAACACAAATTAGTAAACTAAACCTGAGATTGTAGTGCATCACAGGAGGGAGCTTTACAACACACACAAGGACCATGGGGAACAGAAGCATCCACCCTCCAGAAGAAAGCACAGTGTCAGCACCAATTCAGAGATGATTTGAGGATCTACAGCCGAGTGATACACAAATAAGATACATTTTTGTTAATAGTTAAGGTACTTGAATGCATTTTTAGAATTTAACTCCCGAGTTAAATGCCACTTTAAGCATAATACTTACAATAGATGTATCAATATAACTGTTTTCTATGACAATCATTTCATTAAAGTAGTGCAGCATGAGATGTGTCGGGTGAAATTTGCTGCATCATGATGTGTGCTGGGTGCAATGCGATGTGTGTAATGCAGCTGCAGTGTGAAGTATGCTGGATTTATTGGGCTGCAGTGTAAGTTGTGCTCAGTGCTGCAGTGTGTCTTTGCAGTATGCATGTCATTCAGTAGTGACAGCACTAAAAGTTCCTATTAGAGTAAATGATTAGAACATCTTTCAACTTCTCATTGCGCTGTCCACGTGTTGGAAAATTCTCCCACTATCTGTGTGATCACCAAGGCAGTAAATGAGTGGAAATCTCCTTAGTAGGTAGAGCAATAATAATCTGACAGAGTTTCTAACCTGTCTGCTCGCTGTCCAAAACAAAAAAATAAAACAACAAATAAACCAGAATTTTGGTTGTTTTTAATGTTAAAGAAAAGTAACTTATTTACAGGACAAGGACACAGTGGAGATAGTCAGGCAAAATAAGTATAAATTAACCTCCTTTCAGGTAGTGATCCTATTTGTTTGTTTTGCAGACTTATCTTAGTACTGTACAGTTGAGAACTTGCCACTGTTATGCATGGTTTTGATCAATTATGTAAGAAACAATTGCTTATATAAAAACAGAGTTTTGCTTGCTTCTACATCTATATGCCAGCAATTTGAAGACTATTGAAAACTGGCCTTGACAACCATGGAAAATTGACCATTGTAAAACTGTGCAGCAAGATCCTTTTTATTAAAGAGCTAATAATAAGGGGTCTTTTCACGAAGCTGCCGAGGGCAGCTGTGTGAATGATCGATCTGAAGTGTCGATGCATATGCGTTCGGCTCGGCTGAGCCGCTCGGCCATGATCGGGAGCTGTACGGGCTATTGTGAATGTATGTAGAACCGAAGGGGTCCTGGGGCCGAAGCTAGCTGAAGGATCGGCCGAAGCTACGGCCAGATCCTTCGGCAGCTTTGTGAATAGACCCCTAAGTGTCATTTATGCTTAAAATATTGTAATAATGCAACTTTATTGCAGTGCCATAAGGAGTACTTAGTGATGGCCCAGTGTTTTTTAATGTTTCATTAATACCAGACCATCTGTTTAAAACATGTCAGAGGGCTTGGAAAGGAGCCCTAGTGGCTTAAAATGGAGGAATATCATACATCCGATAAAATCCATACATCCAATACAAACTTACATTTGTAAATATGGGCACACCAATATGCTGTTCAACTGTCCCTAAAGGCCTGACTGCTCTCCTCCTGAAAGCAAAGTCTGTAAAATGTTGTATTCTAAGTGTTTGACTAATTAAATAAGTGGAAAGTGTTGATTTGTGAATAAAGTAAAACTGTGATATGTATTGCTTTTTTAACTGGCATGATTATTTAGTCAACGTGAAGATAGAGTCATCTGCTTCACTTCACTCTGACCTTTCTCTGTAAAACCTAAAAATAGTGGCCAGTGGTCTATATTGCACACCCAATAATACCCCCCTTTACTATATAATCCTGTGATGAGCCCTCATAAACATTGATGGCCACACTTAGAAGTGTTTACATTTTACATTTGTAGAGTTTTATTTTAATTACAATGCGTTTAAAATAGTTCTAAAATATTTCTTGTTCTGTTTTTTGCAGGTATTGTACTTTCCGATATTATAAAAAATTATTTTGTATCGCCGACATTGTTCAGAATAATCCGTTTAGCACGAATTGGACGTGTTCTGCGACTTATAAGAGGAGCCAAAGGAATAAGGACTCTTCTGTTTGCCTTAATGATGTCCCTCCCAGCCTTGTTTAATATTGGTCTCTTGCTTTTCCTTGTTATGTTCATTTATGCCATTTTTGGTATGTCAAACTTTGCCTATGTAAAGATGGAAGGTGGAATCGATGACATGTTTAACTTTCAAACATTTGGAAACAGCATGATTTGCCTGTTTCAAATCACAACCTCAGCAGGGTGGGATGGCCTTCTCAATCCCATATTAAACAGTAATAAACCTGAATGTGATCCAGAGTTCCCCAACCCAGGAAGCTCATCCAATGGGAACTGTGGAAATCCTCCTGTTGGGATTGTCTTTTTCGTTAGCTACATTATCATATCATTTCTTATTGTGGTTAATATGTACATAGCCATCATTCTGGAAAACTTCAGTGTGGCCACTGAAGAAAGTACGGAACCTCTAAGTGAAGATGATTTTGAGATGTTTTACGAAGTCTGGGAGAAGTTTGACCAGGAAGCAACACAGTTCATTGATTACTCAGTCCTGTCTAAATTTGCAGATTCACTTGCTGAACCCTTACGTATACCCATACCAAATAGACTCAAACTGATAGCCATGGACCTTCCTATGGTTAGCGGAGACAGGATTCATTGCTTGGATATTTTATTTGCCTTCACCAAAAGAGTTCTTGGAGAATCTGGGGAGATGGATACTCTAAAGATACAAATGGAAGAAAAATTTATGGCAGCCAACCCATCTAAAATTTCTTATGAACCCATCACCACCACCTTAAGACGCAAACAAGAAGAAGTGTCTGCCTATATCATCCAAAGAGCCTATAGAAGGCATTTGCTTTATCGTTCCATGAAACAAGCCTCATTCCTTTACCGTCACAGATCTTGTGATGGAAACATCATTGAAGAAGAGGCCCCTGAGAAGGAAGGCCTTATTGCTATCATGATGAATGAAAATTTTGGCCGTCATTTGGATAAAGTAGAGTCTCTTTCTTCTGCATCTTTTCCACCTTCTTATGACAGTGTGACCAGGGACACAGGTGAAAATGTTGGGTTGGAAAGAGAAGACTCTACAAAAAATGATCAGTCCACAGATTGTAAAATATGTGCAGACAGAGACAAAGAATCCTTTGTATAATCTTTGGAGTTTTTTTCTGAAACGCTATCAGATATTGTTTACAGAATGTTACAACGTACAAGTGCACAATAGTTCTGGCAGCCTTCATATTCGATTTATTTGGGACTATAATGAAATAACTTTTCAATTGAACTTCTGGGGATGAATGCTTTACAATTTGTTGGCTCCGTTTCAGTCAACGTTTGCTTTACATTTGTACATCAAAAACTTATGCAGCCTACGAAGTACTACCAGTGGTGTGGTTATGAGTATGCTAATATGTACAAGAGTAATGCAATGTATCTCTATACACAGACAAAATCCTGACTGTATACATTCATTTATGGTCTTATACTAGTGTGTTTAGTAAAGGTTATATACAACCTTGCATCTAAATTAAATCAAAATATCACAAGCTGCTGTAGCAAAACTATATACACTTACTGTATATGTCATGAATGGTCTTTCATAAATTTATATTTGATATTTTTTTTACATATAAAAAAAAGTTTTCTTTCTTTCCAAAGGGAGAGCAGATAGTTATTTTATCTGCATTTGAAACTCCTGAATAATATTAAAACAAAAATCAAAAAAAGGATTATTGGATCTTGCTGCTGATAACTGTACAAAATAATTTAACTGTTATTACAAGCTGACATGTAATTGCTTGGCATGGGTAATGCAAATAAATCTTTTTAAATGGGTTCATTAATGTGTACTAAATATTTATCCATTTATGTCTAAGGAGAATATCTTAGAAGAAATTTTATATTCAAATTTTGTTCTAGACTGATTATTAAAGAAACAAAGGAAATCTTTTTTGACCATTATAATATTTTTGTGATGGCAAACCACAGACTGCACATTCAGTTGAATGGTCTTGATCACTACCCTGTTTTGTATCCATATACCTAATCCACAGATTGAATGAAAAGCCTGCCTAAAAACCTCAATATTAAGGGGGTTTAAATCACCTGATTTTTATCTTTTTCTGTCTCTCAGGGAGTCCTGTGGTGACATCTTTGCACCTCAGTTTTAAGCTCTACCAAACTGTCAAGGCTATTACAAGGGTTCCCTACTCTTGCCTCTAAATACTGAGTATATCAATTTAATTTACATTGTGCAAGATGCTGCAGGGTCAGGAGATTTCCTTACTTGACTTTGTAATGGCTGAGGCAGAGGTTAGAGACAGTTACAGTGGAGATATCTTTGTTGGTGTTCCCGGACACATCTGATAATAGAGTGAAGCCAGTCCACGGCCACCCATCTATAATGTCTAAAGCTGACTTATCCTTTGTTGTCATCCTTATTCATGACTTATGTGATCCATACACAGTAATGAACCAGTACTAGTCCAGTACATTGTTTCCTCTTTCCTCTCTATGTGTACTTGTCAGTCTTTCATGCCCATTAGTATATGGATGTGTCCCCTGCACTCCTTACAGCGATTGGACCTGAACAACCGTGGTCCTCGCAATGATAGTTATGGATGGTGCCGTGTGTATCAAACTTGTAGAAAATGAAGATCACCAGCACTACAGTAGTAGCATTAATCCTTGTGCTTATTTATTGAACTGAAATATCACAAACATAATATAGCCAACGTTTTCAGGACCACGTAGGGTCCCTACATCCTGATGAAGGTACCCTGTGTGGAACCAAAACGTTGGCTATATTATGTTTGTGATATTTCACTTCAATAAATAAGCACAAGGCTTAATGCTACTACTGTAGTGCTGGTGATCTTCATCTTCTACAAGTCTTTCATTCTTTATTTTCACCATGTAGTCACATGTCTTCCTTCTGTTTATCACAATGTGTAATACATGAATGACTTCTAGGCAGCATTATTCTGGTTAAATGCACTCAAGGCTTGATGTAAAAATTATTTTCATGCATTATAGAGTATAAGAGTTTACTGACAGTGAGTGAAGGGGTGGCAATTTATATATTACTTATAATCATAAATATTGTTGCATTATAGAGTTTTTTCCCTCTACACAACACCACACTATCTTTATAGTTGAGTTATTATAAATTGTTTAACTATCATACAACTAATTGCGTAAATAATTCTTCAAGGTTTATCTTTTTTCATGCCTTTGTGACGTGTTTGGCAGCTTTAAATAAACATTAGTATTAACGAGAATGGGGAAATCCCTTGTACAGACATGGGCACGCTCAGGTTTTATCAAAGGTTTTATGAAAGCAGCAACAAAGGCCAAATAGAACAACTTCTGCCATCATGGCATTATATGGAGAATCAAACAGGGCCAAGTGGCACTACTAACTTGCTAGAAAGAATTGTGGTAGGATGATAAACCTTTTTGCACACACAGTCCTCAGTGTTTCTAATGGAAAGCAGATGACTATCTAAAATGCCAGCTTCTAACATTGATTAGCTCTATTAAGATTTGCTTGTTGCTAGAGAAAGTGCTCAATCCTATAAGTATGGTAGCATTCCCCAAAGCTACAAATGCATTTCAGTATAACTGTTTTCAGATATGAGATTAAGCTGCAAATAGATCTGTTATCCTCTAAAAGTCAGCAGGGTTGAGCTAGTAAAGGAGTAAAGATTGTCCACTTTGAAAAAATAATGCTCAATTAGTTTAGTCAATAAGGTGTGCCCACTTCAATCGTCCATTCATGTGCAAGCAAAAATCGTTTTTTCCCTTGCACATGTTTGGGTATTTAAAGTGAACATAGTTTCATTGTAACTATTGACATAACTGAAAACTCACCATCAAATAATCAATCCCAGAGAGCTGTATGTTATTGTAGAGCTCCAATCCCCGCCAAAGTAGAGTTTCACTACTTCCTAAAGGGCTGCTATAAAGCTTAGCATTGACGGTCAGTTGTGTTATAGGGAAAGAGCAGTTAATTAAAGAAAAATCCTCTTGTCTGTGGATCAGGGCCACCCTCAATACAATAAGCTTTTTTTTAATGGAGTTTGACCTTTTAATACCACCACCCATCATGTTAAAAAGATATTAGTTTATGAACATCTAATTGTGCCTCTATATTGGTTCAGTTATGCGTCATTCTGTCTTCTCGAACAGCAAATTGAAATAATGCCTTAGACAAGAAGATGTACATTTCTACCTTTTTTTCTCCAATGTTGGTATTTTAAGACTCGAGGCTCATACTCAGCCCATATTGATGTTGGCTTTGTTAAAACTGCATGGGATTTTTACTTTACCTGTTACAGCAATCCTTGAGTGTGATTCTTCAAATTTCTACTGCTGAGTAATGGTAATTGAGCACCAAGCCACAATACTTGTTCATGTTCTGAACCACTTATAATCCTGTATCAGGTATTACAGGTGTCATATCAGTTTCTACACCATTTATTTTACAAAGAGGTTTGATATATTTGATGTAACATCACAGAGTAACTCATAATGGCTTGCAGAGATGCATGTTTTCTCAGATTATTGGCTAATAGTTTTGTAAACTCATGGCAGAATTAGGAAGGAAGGGAAAGTTGGAGTGTTTTCCATGGCAAACAATTAGATTCAAAGCAGTTTTTTTCAGTTTCCAGAAAGTTAAGAATGACACCGATTGTAAAAATAAAAAAATGCAGCATACTCTCTCCCCCACAGACTTACTCGCTCTGTGATCCAGTCCTCTTCTGGTTTGAATGATGCCCAGCATCATTTTGTTAATTTCCTCTGAGTGCAGGAGCCTTACCATGTCATCCTGCGCTCACAATACAATGATACAGAGAATAGTGCTGATATAATTACATCAGCGACACTCTCTGCATTATCGAGGATTACCTAGCACTGGAGAAAAGGAAAAGCAACTTGATCAACGTTAAAACTTCTGAAAAATGGAAATTATAAAAAATACTTGGGGGAAGGGAGTACTGGGGGGGGGGGGGGGTTTTTAAGTATTTTTATACATTAGTTGGTGCAGACCCATAAACAGTCAGAGTTTCATCAAGTGAATTAATCACCCACAACTTTGTATTTAATGGGATATTGGATATAATGTGAATCCATTGTTTATGTAGGCGCTGTACATTGTTTGCACCCATTTGTTGATTTGACAGAGCAGCATCAGACTACACGTGGTCCAGTTTTATGGGTGAAATAGAACTGGAGGCAGGAATAGATCATTCTTGGCTCTGAAATAGTGACAAGTAAGAGCATCTGATTGATTGCTGTTGGTAAATCCTCCACATTTTCTTTTCTCCAGTTTTCATACAAGAGGCCTATGTTTTCCAGTTTTCATACATGAGGCCTATGTTCTCCAGTTTTCATACATGAGGCCTATGATATGCATGTGTGAATGATTCATGTCTTGCTTATACTGGTGTGCCATGTGTCCCGTGCACCGTTTTTTGAATTACACCTATCCCTGCTATGCCAGAAAATTCAACAAAATGATTTTTTTTGAGGCAATAGAATGAATTTCCTGTTTCAAAAATTGCCAATTATACTTGTGTATGGTTGACCTGTGTGTATTCTTTTGCTCCCAAAAAACTGTAATAGGCAATCAACTATGTCAGCTAATACTGATTTTAATGACAGTGTGCACAACACTTCCATTGCCCTTACTGTAAAGAATCATGTGTTGCACAAGAAATGTTACTTTTACTCTCACAATTGATGTCCACCTGTCACCTATACAGCACATGTAATAAAAAGTTCCCATGAGAACTTCTTGTATTGACCTTGAATATACTTGAATAAAATTATCATTCTTTTTAACATAATGTTTCAGTTTTATATCTACTTTAGGTACTTTTCTTGTGTATTGAAATTTTAGAACATTTCTTCTGTTTTTTATATTTTGTTTTGTTTTTTTTAATGGATTTTAGAACTTGATAGGCAAGGGATTGTTTTTATTTATTCATTTTCTTTTTTGTATTAAAACATTTATAAAGTGAAAACTTTGGGGGGGGTTTTTTACGACAGAGTTTTCTGTCTGTGTCTGACGAACTGACCCGTAGACGCCAGACAATTGGGAGATTTTCCCTTTATTCCCTCTATTCCTTTTCTGGTGCTCAAAAATCAGACCTGGTGACTAAAGATGAGCTCAGGTTGGACCGAACCCGGTTTGAATCTGAGCTCCTCCAAATCCGTAAGGCATCCCTCCCAAACACAGAAGGAAGCTCCTTCTATTCCACCCAATCAGCTGCAGGTGGAGGCAGGATGCAGCTACATAAATGATTTTATATGGCTACATGCAACATCTTGGTAAAGGAAATGTGGCCATATTGGGTAAATGACGCCAGCACAATCATCCTGCCCCTTTGTTTACATGCGGGGGGATTCCCATATCACAGCTAATTAGGTGGAAGGTTTGGAGGAGCTCAGGTTAGGACTGGGTTCAGTTTGAGCCTGAGCTCATCCCTGTTGGTGATAATTGTAGGTAGATAGCGGTAGGCAACATGGCTGTTCATTTTCTGAGGAGATTTTCCCTTAGTTTAGTGAATGAGGTGAAGCTCACTGACTTCCATCATCCAAACATGTGGAAACAAAAATATTGTTTTTGTTATTTTCCTTGCAG